TGTCCCGTGTCTCCTATCCCGTGTCCCCTGTCCCGTGTCCCCTGTCCCCTGTCCTGTGTCCCCTGTCCCGTGTCTCCTATCCCGTGTCCTGTGTCCTGTGTCCCCTGTCCCGTGTCCTGTGTCCCGTGTCCTGTGTCCCGTGTCCCCTGTCCCGTGTCCCCTGTCCCCTGTCCTGTGTCCCCTGTCCCATGTCCCCTGTCCCGTGTCCCATGTCCCGTGTCCCGTGTCCCCTGTCCCGAGATGTCTCTCCGGCTGGGCCCGAGTGAAGCCCCCTCTTCCCGCTGCTCTCGAAGCAGTCAGATGTGGTCGCTCATTGTGCTATTTCTTCTCTCGCCATCGTGCATTTGAAGGAAACAAAACATTGTGAGCGGTTGGCGGACACTTCTGAGAAAAATGAAGTCATTCCTCAGCTCTAAGCGAGCTTTTGGGTTGGTTTTTTTCTGCCCCTGAGCTGGCTCTGCCCCAGCCGTGTCCCTCCCTGCATTAATCTCCCATTTATGATCTTTCTCTATCTCCTGGCAGGATTATGGTATTTMAGTGGAGGCTGATGAGGGAGTTGTGCCCAGTCACGTTTGTGCTCATTACATTTACCTTTTAGTGCATAATGTGTTATCACAGGCACGTGGGGCGACTGGCACAGGCCACATCAGTGCCACAGCCCAAAAAAAGGCTGTTCTAGGCACTTTGGACAAGTGGCTGTGGCTTCACAGCCACCTCTGCATGCTCAGGTACTTTATAACTGTTCCTCTTGCAAAAGGGGACAGGGAAAAAGGAGATCCCTTTTTCTGGAGAGATTCCATAGGCCAGAAAGCATTTCTGCAGCCTTTCCAAAGCTCTTTGTGGGCAGGAAGGATGTGACCTCTGCCCAGCCAGCAGTGCCTCGGAGCTGAGCACAAACTGGTAAAGTCCAGCTTGGGGACACTTTCAGCCTTTGTCCTCCCTGGATCCCTCCTGGCCATAAAGTTCACATGGTGCAGGCAGTGCTGGGGTTTCACCAGAGCCAAATTTCTGCTGTTTGCCTGGCCAATGGGAGCCTCTGGATTCTCCAGTGCACAGCAGCACCAGGCTCATTCCACAGAGAGATTCAKTTTATTCTCTTTRTTCTGAGCTCMGTGGATCATTCCCAGCTCTGCATGYAGCTTTTCCTACATTCACATCTCTCTGGAACCACATCYGTGGTTTTTTCCTTTCCCCTCACAGCACGTGGATTATTGGTGGTGTACAGTCAGCCAGCATTCCCAGCAACAARTGCTCCCCAGGGAAAAATACACCTGTACACGAGTGAAAGGATCTCTGAGGCCAAAACAGAAAATTACCCAACTAACAACCCAACTGGATTGCAGAGCTTTAGTTTGTCTGCCTGTGCACGTTCTGTMCATAATTCCTCTTTGGAATTGTGTTTACAGTAATAGATGGCTGTGGAGAGATGTCATTCATGTGATAATGCTGGCAGCACAAATCTCCAGGTGCAACTCTGATGATTTATAAGCGGCCTCTTTATAGAGGCAAGCCCCATGAATTATTTACCATTTTGTGAGAATCAAGTAGATTTGGGATATTTTAAGGCTGGTGCTCCATACACCTGTGCAGGACAGGAATCATTGAGATGAGAGCTGCCCCACCCAGCACGGGGACATGAGGAAAACAAAACAGGGCCACATCTGCAGAAATCCCRGGCACCCCGACAGCAAAATGTTACCTGGACACAAAAACTTTTCARAAACTGCCAATAAAACACTGCTCAGCTATCCCTGCTCCTTGCACCAAAGACATTTCCAGTATTTGTGGTTGTTTTTTTTTTTCCCTGCTGGATTTAAGTGTACCAGCTGTTACCCAAATATTGGGAAGTGCTATTTAGAAGGTCACTGTATCATGCCAATAGGGAGACTTTACACTGTAAATCCCTCGTACTTTTAATCATCCACTGACAACAGACACGAAGAAAATCCAAATAAAGCATGATCTTCCCAAATACAGATGGTTTGGATTGTCGAGAATTGGCTTGAACAGATTAATAGARCCCTGACCTAAGCAGAAAATGCTCTTTAGGAAATGAGCTGGATGCCTCCAGATCACCAAACAGCATTATGAGAGCAAACTGCTGCCAGAGGCTGCCCAGAATGACTTGCTTTTTGCTCTTCAATTTATTATTTATTTATTGTGAGCAGCTCTGGTAAAATACAAAATGAGAACCAGAGGAGACAATTACCCAGACAAGGCTCCTTTTGGTTTGATGTGGYACCAGCTGTACATGGAGTTTTGTAATTCCTGAGACTTTTAAATTATTATTGTACTTCAGTGACTTCATATTTAAAATGTTCTATTCGTGCTGTATTACTCATTCCACTGAACTTAACAAATCATAAAAGTAATAGTGGCAAGGTACAGATTTTATCTGACTGGCTCTTCCTTTGTGCTTTAAAACAGGATTTCATGATTTCTACAGAGGATGAAATAAAATCTGCATCACACCTCAGCATCATTCAATATTTAATGCTGTTACTTAACAATCTTGCTGAAAAAAAGGCTTTTCTCACTGCAAAGCTTCTCGCTGGTGATGATTTTCTCCTTCCCTCTGGAAAATTTTCATAAGGAATGTTAATATTTTATCAAGTTGCTGTTGGACTAATATAATTATGACTGTATTCTCAGTATATACCTTCCTTAAAGCATTATTGAAATGGCTGGGGACTGGACACGATTCAGAAGACAGAAAAAYAGCAAAATATTAACTATTTAAAAACATGTCAGTGTTTTATAATGTATTATTGAGAATGTCATAGAAAACTCATCACAAAACATGAATTGTTAATTGTTGCTCAGTTCCCAGTGACAATGTAACACTGCAGATTGTTTCTTTCAGTTGGATTTCACATCTGGCTGTGTTTAATGCACCTTGGGTTTATTGGGATGTGTGTGTGTTTATGGTGTGAGGATCCCAGCCAGCAGTGCCTGAGTCAGGCCCRSAGCTGCAATCTCTGGGGATCTCCTGAGCAATGTGGTCCCTCCTGTTCCACCACACCAGGACACTTCTCCTGAAGCTGCCTGGGCTGCTCCTCCTTGAGGGATGAAAAAACCCCAAAAGACTGGTGTAATTACCATTCAGGCTCATCTGGCTTGGTCTCTTGTCTCTGGAAGTGGCCAGGGTAAAAAATCACCTCCTTCTGTTGGCCTCTATGAATTCTTKTCATAGGGAATAGAATCAGCTATCCATCTTCTCAGAGATTTGTCCTTTTACAGGCTCATAACCCCCAGGGAGCACATCCAGCTCCCCCAAGCTCTCCAGATTTCCTGTGGGACCTTTCAAACAATCCATTTCAGTTCTAAACAGTGCCTTTGCAATCCTCATCCTCTTTTGGTCCCCTCCAGCCCATTACAGGGTGGTTTTTTGGGAGTGAGGGTCCTGACAAACACAACCTGGGATAACAGAGCTGCACCTTCCAGCAAAGGGTTTTTGGCTGCACATTGGGTATTTGCAGCATTGGGCCACCCCAAATGTGTTTTTTCTTAGCTGGTGTGCCACCTCAGAGCTGGCATCGTGCCACCCCAGCACGTGGCCATGGTGGGACACTCGGTGTGAGACTGAAATGTTTGCTGAGGGCACARTTCCTCATCCAGAATCCTGCCAGGGTGTTTTTTGGCTGGCAGAGCCCCAGTGAAAATCCTGCACCAATACTTTCTGGAAGGAAAGAGGAAGGAAGGGAGAGGTCAGAGTTCTGGGGCCCTGCCCCTGGGAACAGGGACACAGGAATTTGGGTCCATTGGAAGTTTCTRGATTTTTGCCTGTATTGCTCATTGTCTGCAGGATTGTCAATAGGGAATTTGCACTAAAATCCCTCTCTGCAGAGCTTTCAGRAGCCATTGCTGTGTTCCAGCTGGGGAACTCTGGGAAGGGGCCCAGCTTCTGTAAATCCTCTATCATTCCTGCTCTGAACAGTAATCAGCACACCCACCCCACCCATGCCACTGGAATTCCAAATCAGGCATGCATATCTCGTTTCAGGGTGGAGATTTCTCCTGCATTTGGGGTTTTGTAAGCCCAGGGTTTGGGTTGCACTGACAATCATTTCTCCCATGTCTGCAGGGCACAGAATGGCTTCTCCCATTCCCAATGCCAGGTGTAGCACAGTGACTTTGTGGAGGTTTATCCAAGTTAGGACAAGTTCTCTTCCTCCTCCTTCTGGGAGGTTCTGGAAGCACAAGGACAGTTTTTTGTCCTCAGGCTGCTGAAGAGGAATCATTATCCACTTGCTGACATCTTCCACCCTACTGTCACTACTTTYCATCCCCTGCTGGGATTGTGGGATTAATCAGTGTGCACAGGGACTCTGCAGAACAGCAGGGAGCAGGGATAACAGTCCCTCAAAAWGAGATAAAATTTAGGGTCCCTCCCCACCCAAAGCATTCCCTGATTCCATGATTGCAGGAGAGAATCAGGGAGGAGAGGGACTTTGTAACTACTCAGTTAGGTACTGGWAACTGAGATCCTACTAATACAACTCAGGAGATTTAATGTATTTTACATTCAAAGCYGGGTAATAATTAATTAGGATTAATAATACAAGAGAGTTCTGGTGTAGGATAAGGAATGSCAGTTGTGAAAACCCAAATTCCAAAATTCTCCTGGAAGTACTCAGTTTGTGGAGGAGGCATTTCCCCCTTGGCCCAGCATCCCCTGGCTGGACATGGTGAACACCACAGAGAGGGAACAAACACAACAGAGCAGAGAGAAACAAGAGGGATTAGCTGGAGGAGAACTGGGAGGAGAGTAGTGAGCAAAAGGGTGAGTAGGAGGAAAATCAATGTGAGCTGTAGGCGGGTGAGAGGTACATAAAGCCATGAAGATTGTACCGGATTAGAGTCGTGAGTCAAACACTGAAGCATGAAACARGACTACAAAGGGTATCCCAGATTCTTCTGATTCACACAAAAACCTGGGGAAATAACCCCTCTGCCAGAGAGGTGTTACACAAACCTCATATTGTCTGTGTGCAGTATGGAATGTGCAGGGCTGACTCATGGAGCTGATGGACATGTGTGAGGCCAAGTGGTGCCACAGGTTCCAAACGTGCCCAAAATGCTACAAAGGAATAGAATGGGATTAACAATTGTGCAAAAATGTAAAATCTGAGATTATTTAGAAATTCCTCCTGAGAAARGAGGAATTTTTATGGTTTATACTTACAGAGATAACTTAGGCTCTGAAGAGGAATCCGTTCAATCTGAATTATGCTCATGGACACTTTTCCTTAGCCACACAGGGAGGAGAGACACTTAGCCTGACAAACCAAAAATGGCCCRTGTCAGATGATGTGAAACTTGTGATGTTTTATCTTAAAACCTTATCTGACTTACTATTTATTTCTGTAAGATGACACTTCTTTATAGCAGCCTCTAAACTTCTTGTGGCCACAGTTGAAATTCAGTCCTGAACTGGCTGAACATCACGTGGAGACGTTCTCCTGGTGCTTCCATATTCATCTCCATCTGCTGTGCTGGSAAAAAGAGCCAGAAGGATGCCATGAGTGACACCTCCTCTGCCAGAAGACCCTCCAGGTAGCAGCTCATAGCAACCAGAACCTAAATGTGTTGTTTTTCTGAGGATAGGGGTTGAACCTGATTCCAACCTTCCCAAACAAGAGGCAGGAACAGTTCTCCAGAGATGTGTTCAATCAGTCTAGAGTAAGGCTGCTAACATGGCATCTGTGTGAGCTGTGCAGCAACTTTTCTTGCTGAGTGGGAGGAGGATTAGYAGGGAGAGGAGAAAGCCATCAGGGAAGGTATTCTGTGTTGTGAAAAGCTCCAGCACGTGGGACTGTGTGGGTGCTGCACATCCTCACGGAGTCCCCGTGGATTGCAGTGAGAATCTGCCTCCTTTCTGCTGGGTGCATCCTCCTGTGGGCACACACCTACAATAAAAACTTATTATGGATTTGTTTTGGTCCAAATAGCAGCRCTTTTAGAGAAGCTGTAGGAATTTAATGCAGTTGTGCCTGCATCAAGATTGCTGACATTTTTATAGACCAGCACACATGAAGCATAAATCACATTTACCAGCATTCCAGAGCTTAAGCATTTCCACTGTGCTCACTTTGGGAGTTTAATCAAATGAGTGCCAGCACCATGCAACATCATTAATCAGCCATTTTAAGCAGTAATGGGGGCTTAAAGCAGGATGAGTGAGTGCATTTCTAGTCAGCTCATGCTTCTCTGAATATTAGTCTTAAGTCTTGAATARAACCATAAAATATCCTGAGTTGGAAARGACCCATAGAGATCAGCAAAGTCCAACTCCCAGCTGGCCAGTACAACCTCTCCCTGCCCTCACTCTGTTTCAAATCTGTCTTTGCCACAGCTCCACATGAGTTCTGCTCAGTGATTCCTYTCCTGGAATATTTTCCCCKTRGTTTCAGGCTTCAAATCACACCTAYAAGAAACAGCATTTAACCTGCACAAGGCACCTTCCTTGGTACACAGAAGAGGACAAAGACCAGAAGAATTTATTTTCTCTATGTGGAGCCTGCAAGAGAACCATGGAAGCTATAAACCAGGAAAAGAGCTGTGACAAGTTTTATATATATATTTATATTTATATATATATATGCCCACTTTATTATAATGCCTCTATTTTTTATATTTATATATATGTGCACACACATGCATATATATACATACATATGTACAGCCATGGCTGYTGCTACAGGCCCACTCATGAACGTGTTACATAAAATGACATTGAGAGGTGGCTAAAAGCAGCGACTTCCCTCAAAAACAAACAAACTGACTCACTTTCACATGTCTCTGGTGAAAGCCAGGGATGCTGCCATGTGATGTAAACCCTGTGGATCCTGGGAATCACTGCCTGCCCAGTTGCAGTGGAATTGTGCTGTACTTGGCAGGAYCTGGCTGCTCACAAGTGGCTCCTGACCTGTTCCTGGGTGCTGAAATCTGTGCACASAGTGAGTGTCCTCCCTGCAAACAGAAAAAACAACAATCCACATCAGCTGTTGTTCCTTTTATGTCTCAGACCTGAGTTTCCCTGCCCAGACAGGCCGCCCATGTGGCAAGAGARCAATTGTAGGGCAGAATAATCCATTAGGAGCATCTGAATGCATACCCTGCAGCCACAATTTATCCTTGGTGTTCTTACTTTCTTCTCCTTAATCACATTCCCTGCCTGCCAGAGTGTGAGCAGCAYTTCASTCACTGGAATCACTTTACCAGGATGTATCTCAGAATTGCCTCAGAGATGATTTCATCTTTGYAGAATACTTTCAGATTGTAAGTAATTTCATAGCTGTAATAGCTCACTCTCTCCTGGAGGATTCCAGTGCTCCTGCAAATGTTCACGGGTTGAATTGCCAGCTAGAATTGCTGCAGACTGCTTTCTCCATCTTTTCTCCAGTCAGGAGAACAGCAGTGGGCACTGTCTGGGATAACATCCCAACAAACCCCCGCACAAAGGGCTCTGAGTAATGTTGTAGTAATTCCTGATCGCAGAGGTGCCTCAGGGAAACAGGAGATGGATTCCCTTCATAAACCACATCAAATAATAGCAGGGGTTTGTTGCTGCTTTAGTCAAGCTGACATACATTCTCTTCCTTCAGAAAGTAAGAAAGCAGCAAATTACCCCAAATGGGCCTGKTTTTGTGCAGACAACAATGCAAGTCATAAAATCAATAATATCCCAAAACAATGGCTCAGAGCTGAACAATGGGATCCACTGGGTGAAAGCTGAGCAGGAAAAATGCTCCCTTAGGGAAAGACTCATCACAAATCACAGGAGACAGAATGCAGCGAGGAAGAGTGACAGCCAGAAAAGC